TTAAAGACTACCATCAATAGTCACAAAAAATTCCACGACCTAGTGGATAGGGAGTGCCAAGGTTCTGGACTCTTGCAGTTGCTCTGTACTTCCCTGTGCAGTCTTAAAGTAATAAGCTGTTCTTACAGCATTTGTCTGATGCTAGTTCAGTGCTTTCTGACTGAGGTCACTTGTTTATATATTGGGACAATAACACATCTGGTGCCTTACATGGTGCTGGGGTCATTGATAGTACCACAAAGTGCCCATCTGGCAAATAGATACTTGTAACCTATTCACCTTCATAAAAGGATAATCTCAACTACATACCAGTAATATGTTATAGGCACAACATACACATACACACATACATACAATTAAGGTTAAAGTAAATGTAATTGGTCCAGTATTCATGACCAAAGTCAGATTAACACAAGTAAATCAAGTAAAAATGGCTCACTCGCTCTCCACTTGGGACTCACACCACTTGAAACACATAAGAACTAAAACAGCTGCACCAACTTAACCATAATTACTTAACGAGCTGCTGCGCTCAAGGGAATAAAACCCAACCCCCACCACTCGCATCCCCCATACAACTGACTCATAACCTGCACTAACTGGCTACAGGGGCATTCACCCGTACCAACCCTCCCAAAGCAATAGGTCTTAGTAACTCAAAGCTAACAATATCTCAAACCCACTCTCCTTTACCTAGAAGTAAGTAATTATCAAAGAAGGCACCAAGCTGGGAAGGTTATGTAGCACCATCAAATGTGCGGAATAATCAGAGGGCGCTAAATATTACTGAGGATGCCAATATGAGAACAGAAACGCATAAAGCGAACGATATCGAAAGCATCATATTCACCAAGAATTCTATCAAGGGACAAGTAGCCGTGGGGGACAGTCAGAAAGCAAGACACATGCTCATCCTGGAAGTCAGGACATTCAACAAGGATATGCACAACTGTAAGAGGGACAATTCACCAGTTCAAAAGTTCAATTCACAATTCAAAAGAGGTTTGTTTTGGGACGCTTACCTTTCTGGTTGCCTGACCCAGTTGATGGCAGACATAGAATGCTTCCAACCACACGGGGGTTTCTATAGGCCATTGCTCCCCTTGCCTCTCTGAGGGGGCCAGGTTCTGGCTCGTGGTCCCCGGTAGGCCCATAGAACTCCATACACATGACTGATGCCAAAGTCTGACATTAGCATATCAGCCTGGATAAGCTCCAGAGAGCCGACGGGGCTCCACCCAGAAAATGGCAGGGCTGAATGAATACTTTAAATCAGTGTTCATACTAGAAAGATTACATGACATCCCATTACCCAAATGGTTGAAAGTGGTGAAGAGAACAAATTAAGGTCTATATCATAATGTGCAACACAATCAGGAAGAGTATTGACAAACTAAAAGACTCTAAAGCCCAAGTGTGCATGAAATTCAATCCAAAGTCATAGAAGAACTGGCAGATGATTGGTAAGTCCCCCATGGAGCAGTGGTAATGCACTCACCCAGTGCTTCACGAACGCTTTAGTCTGGGTTCGTATCCTGGCCAGGAAGGATTGTCAAGATGCCAACCCTTAACTGTAGCCTCTGTTCACCCAGCAGTGAATGGGTACCTGGTTGTTAAGCAATTTGATAGGTCGTATTCCGGAGAACAAGTAAGTTTAAGAACCTGGCCGAAACGCTGTGTTAGCTAGTGGCTTTACAAGAATATAAGAACTCTTGTATATAAAGTGGAACCTAGGCTTACACATGCCTCTCTTTAAGAATTATTCGGTTTACAAGCTCAATTTCTTTGAAAAATTTTAATTGGTTAAGGAGCTTTGCCTCGATTTACAAGCTTGTTGACACATGTATGGGTCAACCAAGCACGTGGTTCCTAGTGGCAGAATGACCCCGCTTCAGTTTACCAGTGGCTTCCGCTTAGTGATGATTGCGCTTGAATTCTTTATAAAGAATTTAATTGTTATTTCAGCTTTTTTACTTTCTAAAAATAAAAGTAATTATTATATACCACACCATGAGTTCCTCGACAATTAGGAAGTGGTGTGCAGTATGGGAAGAAATGCAAAGTTTTGTTGAAACGACTCACCCAAATCAAGCTGCAGTAGGACGTTGCCTCAACCTTTTTAATGACAATGTGATGCCTCACTACAAACAAGTGTTAAAATGTAGGGAAAAACAAGTATCTATGGAGAGGTTATTAGTGAGAAAAACAAGAAGCAATGAGCCACGACTAGGTCCTAGTGGTATGCAGGCAAAACATAGGAGAGAGTACCCCAGAGAAGCCATCACTGCCTGATGTTATAATACTGTAGAAGGGAACTTCTCTTCCAAACACTAACACCTCTTCTCCTCCCACCCTCCTTACTGTTTTCCATACGCCAACAAGTCATCAATTGAGGTAAGCTATAACTTGTACATACTATAGTACAAAATATTTGTGTGTATTATGTATGAAATGTATTCTGAAGTTAATATTTTTGAGTGTGGAACAGATTAATTCAATTTACATTACAGTATTTCTTATGGGAAAATTAGTTTCGGGTTGTGAATTTTCAGTTTACGAGCCATCTCTCAGAACGGACACCTCTATCCAAAGAGTCCCAGTGCACTGTGGTATACACTATAATGAACTTGTAGATCAACTAGCCAAAGCGATGCACAACACGCCTCACATTACCAATCATCCAATTCCTCATGTTGCATGTAAGGAGCCTTCAAAAATACCATCACCCAAGATTTTGTAACAAAATGGAAAACGTCATGCTCACTGTTGTCCTATGGGTCCATTAAAAAGAAATGGGGAAACTTGGAAACACGTCAGATATAAAAGCAGAGAAATTGATGTAACAATGACCAGATTACGGCTGGGACACACACCAAACTGGCAGCACACAGTCCTAAGTACAGAACAGACATTAACAAACTATGCATCGACTGTCAGGTGCCTGAAGCAATTGAACACTATCTCCTTCACTCTTTCCGACATCAGAGTGCCAGAGTAAATTTCAAACGAGTATTTATCGTACTTAAAATACCTTTTACCATCAAGCATATATTAGGAGGAGGTGACCACTCATTACAGAAAAAATATCAAACAGTCAAAGCACTGGCTAAATATCTCAACCAACAAATTGAGCCACATTTAACCCGTGCCACATTTATACCTGGTGCCACCAACAGCTAAACACAAAAAGCAAATGCCCCGTCGCAGCACCAAGGATCAGCTGACACCATAAACACAACATTCTGCCCTACGGTGCAGCAAGTCTTCCTCTAACACACACATCTCTGTTTCAGTCGCCACTCTTCTATCTACAGCACAACGCAACAAACACTTTTGAAACTCCTATCATTCTCAACATTTGTACTGGTGCAGGTATTGGGAGGATAAACCCTTCATGCAAACTGCACCTACTATCAAGAAGAAGAAAAAGAATTCGTAAACGAAGATACAGTACTACTGTATAAATAAATACAGTCTCCGTGGTGTAGTGGTAAGACACTCGCCTGGCGTTCCGCGAGCGCTATGTCATGGGTTCGTATCCTGGCCGGGGAGGATTTACTGGGCGCAATTCCTTAACTGTAGCCTCTGTTTAACGCAACAGTAAAATGTGTACTTGGATGAAAAAACGATTCTTCGCGGCGGGGATCGTATTCCAGGGACCGTAGGATTAAGGACTTGCCCGAAACGCTACGCGTACAAGTGGCTGTACAAGAATGTAACAACTCTTGTATATATCTCAAAAAAAAAAAAAAAAAAAAAAAAAAAAAAAAAAAAAATATATAAAAAATAAATAAAATAAAGATGAACTATGACTATCACTGAAACTTCTTTTCAGAAAATCTCTGGATCAAGGGATAGTTCCTCTATATTGGAAATATTTAAATGTCACTACAATTTTCAAAAGAGGCAGAAAGAGCACAGCAGAAAACTACCATCCAATCAGCTTGACATTACACACTGAAAGCTCATAGAGAGAAGCCTAAGGGAGGGAGGGAATCATTTACCATCTCACAGTGAACAATCTTGTGATATCAACACATGGCCTTGTTAAAAATAGATCCTGCCTTACAAACCTGCTCACATTTTTAGAAACCATAACCAGCTACTCAAAGGACTTCTGGTAAATGTTGAATACACAGACTTTGCTAAAGCTTTTGGCAAGGTACCACATGAACGATTAGGAAGGAAATTACAGGAACAGAATAAATAGTAAAATACTAGAATGGATAAAACATTGATTAATTAAAAAAACATAAAATACTGAACAATTTGGAGGACACTGATCCAGATCACTTCTTCAGATGGTCAAATACAAGGAGAAACAGCTTCAAGATCAATAAGCCATTGAAATTGAAATTGAAATTGAAATAAGTTTATTGAGGTAAAATACACACAAAGGGATGAGGTAGCTCAAGCTATTCTCACCCCATTCAGTACAACGTGTTAATATATACATAGACACACATCACAAATAAACATATTACCAAACATTCTGAGAGATAGACATATACATTTCCTCCTTCACAAGTAGTATGTTATCAGACGTACACACAAATACTTTTATGACCTAGGTATACTGTATAGACAATTTGCAAGAGACATGCAGATAATTCAACAAAATATTACAGTCTTGGTGCAAAATTCTTATATCTCTCAAGAATATCATCAACCTTTCCGTTGAAACAAGCCATAATGCAGGACAGTAACCAGGCTTTTTCACCCATAGAACCGCCTACCCGCCGAAGCAGTAAATCCCAAGACAATGCTGCAATTCAAAATCCAGCTGGATAACATCATCAGGAAAAATTTGGGGGATCTTTGACAAGCCACCGGCTTCCTGTCTCCATCGAGATCACTAAAGATATGGTGTCCGTCAGGTAAGTGCACTGGCCTCCATATACTGGAACCAACCAAACGCCTCTATTCCTTTACAAAGGGTCCATGGCAGGAATATAGTGAGGTGTTTACAGTGGTGTTAAATGAGTGTATGGTGTGTGTACCTGGCAGTGGTAGGTCTCCATGGCATGCCAGCAGCCCTCACTGCTCGCCAGCCTCGCCCCCTCCATCAAAACAAACAGGTTCCTCGCAGTCAAAACAAAATCTTTATTTAGTACACTAGGTACACATTAATTTCGCTTTCAATATGTTCCTTTCTAATGATAAATGTTTGAATATTAAAAAACAATAAATTATACAATTAAGAAAAATATAATAAAATGAATAAATAAATTAATAAATAAATGGATATCCAATTCCAAATAGGATGATCGCGGGAAGCAGACGACTATTCTTAGTTTACGTTCATTTATTATGCATCCCATACCTATCCTGTTGGCGGTAGTGTAAAGGGTTACAATGTCACATAAGGGGCTCAGGGACTTAACCCAAATAATCATTTAGCAAAGCAAATTACAGCTGGGCTAATTACTAAGCCGAGATCTCATAAATTCTATGAGATTGGATAATATTGTAAAATAATAGAAAGCTATGTAATGCAATTTTAAATGTGGAAAACTTCTTAAACTGTAACACTGTGGAGTCAGAGGTCCCTCCCTCTAATACCTGCATTCTTACCTCAGTGACAGGCTTCAGTATGTCTTTGTGAATGATGCTACTTCTCCCACCCTATCAATTAAAATTAATGTTCAACAGGGCAGTATATTTGGTCCTCTCTTCTTTCTCATTTATATCAATGACCTTCCAAATGCCTCTCGACAACTCAAGCCTATTTGCTGATGACACAAACTTCCTCTCCAGTCCTAACCCTGTTATTCTGAATGACACTTTTTTTTATTACTGAACTATAAAAAGAGTCCATCTTCGGTTAAATGCTAACAGACTCACCCTTAACACTGATAAACCCTTCTATATTTCGATTGGTAATAAATCCCCAGATCACACAACTTGATAACACAATACAGAAATAACAAAGAAAATAGATATGAATAATATTACCTTCGATGTTAGTAGTACTGTAGTTCACACAGTTCACCCAGTGAGCCAACTCCACGCTGACTTTGTCTCCTGTAGCACAGAGTATCACCTTCACTCGACAGACATCACTCCACAGTGAGCATTTGACTAATAGAATGGAATACGAAATTAATCGTGAAAGAACCAGCGTTGCTGCTCAGGGTCGTAAAAGAAAATTCTATATTAGATACAAGTTACGAAAGTGACGGCGATTGACATCCTGTGTCTAAAGCAAACAGGAAAAGCCACTCCATGACGACCCATCTACCAACAAACACTCCAGCTTCTCCAGCTCTACCAACAAACACTCCAGCTCCTCTGACTAAATCTGCACTGCCAGTCTTCAAGGTCCAGCATACCGAAGGTAAGTCTTCCTACGCCACTAAAGTGGACCTCGAAAAAGAGTACCCCCAGCTCCAGATCAGAGCAAAGCCAAATCTCAGAGGAGAATATATTTTGAGGCCCAAAGACGAGTCAGCCGCAACGATTCTGAAAAATTACACAAAATGTGAGGAACTCAAGCCAGAGGATAAAATAAGAAAAATCATTGTCCTCCACTATCCCTTGCATATGGCCCTTGACCATCTCGAAAAGCTGAACTATGTGGTGTCAGCAGAGAGATACCAGGTAAAAACCACAAAGCAGGAAACCCGACAAGTCCTTCTCACAGTAAGAGGACGGATCCCGGAGAAACTTGACCTTGGAATCTGGGGCGTGTTCCAACACAGGCCGTACACCCCAGAGCCTCTAAGATGCTTCAGATGTCAGAGATTTGGACATCACAAAGATGGCTGCCAACGCCCAGTGAGGTGTGGAGTATGCAGCCAGCCCCACGACACAAAAATATGCATTGATAAACACAAGGCAAACCACCCTGTCCAAGCAAAGTGCCCAAATTGCTCCAAGGCACATCACGCCTGGAACTTGAAATGCCCTGAAAGGCTCAAAAGGCTTCAAACGAACCCCACCACGCCTACAGCGGAGCCGAAGCCCCCCACCAAAACTTATACCAGCTCCCCTGCCCACTAAAACCGCGTGGAGTCTACCTATTCAGGTAGAGGGGACACACGGCCCTTCACCATCGGCCACGGTGAAGGGTGTGAAGGCCTCTGTCCAGGACAAAGGGATAGCTGGGGGCCACAAGAAACATGTTCAAAGCAGTCGCCCGCCCATTGCATCCAGTAAGCCTACTGGGGACAATAAGGGTAAGAGTAACAATTCCAGTGTCAAAGTGTCCACTGAGAAGGGTTAGAAAGAAGCCAGGCCCCAAACCGGCACAGCAGTAAATAGTGCTCCCGCACAACTGGACGCTCTCTGGCCAATGCTCAAAACTTTGCTCACGGAATTGATCGAAAGTCTGCTGTCGATACACGGTATCAAGCAAACTACAGAGACTCGGAAGACAATTGAGCACAAGCTCAAGAACTTCGAAAACAGGAAATATACATTTCTCCGTGGTGTAGTGGTAAGACACTCGCCTGGCGTTCCGCGAGCGCTATGGCATGGGTTCGTATCCTGGCCGGGGAGGATTTACTGGGCGCAATTCCTTAACTGTAGCCTCTGTTTAACGCAACAGTAAAATGTGTACTTGGATGAAAAAACGATTCTTTGCGGCAGGGGATCGTATTCCAGGGACCTGCCCGAAACGCTACGCGTACTAGTGGCTGTACAAGAATGTAACAACTCTTGTATATATCTCAATAAAACAAAAAACAAAAAAAAAAAACAAAAAAAAAATATAATATCCTCACCTTCAAGAACGCAGGGCAGGAGACACTCCCCTAAAAAAAACAAATAGAGTCCAGCTCGTCTGAAAGCGACCTTGATGAGTCAATTTCAGGTCCACTAAAATCCTCTACACCAATTGCAACTTCCATGGCGTGTTCATCAGACTCCATGGATACCATGGATACCACGGTAATATCAGCAAATTCCAAGAACCTAGAGGTCTAAAGATCCTGCAATGGAATGAGCAAGGGCTGCGCACAAAATTGCAACACTTGCAATGCATAGCAGCAACCAAAGGCATAGACAGCCTGATACTACAGGGGAGCTTGCTTCGAGCCGGATTAGAACCTAAAATCTCAGGCAATCGAGGCTTCTTCCTTCCATGTATCAACGGGCAATCCAGGGGATGTGCAATCTATGTAAAATGGGACCTGAACTCCAAGTCCATAACTAGCCCACCAGATTGTGGAGCAGGGACAGAGGTAATGGGAGTATCCATTGAGCTAAGACACGACAAACTTGGAGTGTTTAATGTGTACAGGTCTCCACATGCTGAAATGGATCTCTCTGTGTTATTTGGACACGCGACTACATCAAACACAATCATTTGTGGAGATTTTAATGCCCATCATCGATTGGCACTGGGCTCGAACACAACAAATGAGGCCGGCATTCACATTGCACAAAACACTAGTCTTAGTGTTTTTCCTGCCCGAAACGCTTTGCGTAATAGTGGCTTTAGGCATTGTATGTACTAGCTCTATCTATAAATCCATCAACTTCTGTATTTCACCTTGTATGTATGTACTTTACCTGAATAAATATTTGTATTTGTATTTGTATTTGTATTATTTACTAGACCAGCTTCCAGAAATCCAAATCCTAAACAAGAATGAACCCACCCACATCCAAGGAGGCAGATTAGACCTAACCTTCGTTTCAGCCTCCCTAAGAGATGCAGCAACATGGTCAGTTGAGCCCACACTCACAAGCGACCACTATGAGGTCCAAATTGATCTTAAGTTAGATCTACCCACCCCACCTCCGCCTCCATCTCAAGCCTGGAACTTTGCTTTAGCAAACTGGGACCGATTTTAAAACTTCATTTTAGAGTGGCATAGAAACTACGATGTTCCCGAAGACATTAATCAGGCAGAACAAGGTTTTGTCAAAACGATTCAAAGTGCAGCCAACCACTCAATCCCACTGAAAAAACAGTCCACCGGACACCATAAAGATCACTGGTACTATTGCGAACGTGTCAAAGAAATCAACCATAGACTCAATAGAACAGGAAAGCTATACAAAAAGCAGCCAAGTGACCGCAACAGGACCTTACTTTGTGAGGTCAAGGAACATGTGCATCGAGAGACCAGACTAATGAAAGAACAAAAGTGGCTGGAATGGTGTTCACACCTGAATGAACACACCTCTCTTGGAGAGATGTGGCAGCAAATCCACCGGGCCAAAGGGAATAAAACACCTAAAGCTCCACACCCCCAAGGATCCTCAACAGGAAGCCGTAGTACTGGCAACCAGGTTTATTTATTTATTTATTTATTTATTTATTTATTTATTTATTTATTTATATACAAGAAGGTACATTCAAGATTACTTAAGTCACAGATATGCCAGAGTAAAGTTGCAAGGACAAGTGTCGGACTACCACTTGCATGAGAATGGGACTCCACAAGGAGGAGTCCTCAGTCCTAGTCTTTTTAACATCCTTATGGAAAACCTTGTTACCATGACATTTACAGAAGGAGTTAAACTGCTAAGCTATGCTGATGATATAGCATTAGTCATTACAGGTCCTTCACTTCTAAATACAGCACAAGGGGCGTTAGATAAAGTAACATCTGAATGCAGCGTTTTAGGGCTAAAAATATCTGCACAGAAGTCTAAGGCAATGAGACTAGGCGGCAACACTCCAGACAGGCACCTACGGATTCAGGACATTAACCTTCAGTGGGTTACACAATATCAATATCTCGGAGTGTGGATAGATTTTAAAATGACATTCAACAAGCAAATGCAATATCTGAAGAAGAAAGCAAAATCACGACTAAATATAATGAGAGCAATCACAGGGCCCCGTCTAGGAGCGGGACACAAAGTGTTAAGAATGTTTTACATACACGCCGTTCGTTCCCTAGTTGTTTATGCAGCGCCTGCCTTACTCACTCTTTCTCCTGACCAGTAGGCAAAGTTGAGGTTATTCAAAACGATGCATTGCGTATCATAACAGGAGCTCCCAGATGGACTAAAATACTGAACCTAAGACTAGAAACCAAGCTAACGTCGATTGAAATAAGGATAAAAGGGATTACTGCGTGCATGCTGACCAAGATATTGACTAGACCTAGAATCAGTTCACTTAAAGATATAATGACTGGAGC